TCCTAATTTGTCACAGAGGCTGCTGTGATTGTTGCTATTTGCTTCCAATCTATTCTAATTTATGTATGACTGTTAGTGCTTTCACTAAAAAGGTTACTACTTTTTACTTTAGTAAAAGTACTTTTACTAAAAACCTTAGGCATACTGCCTAAGGCATTTGACTGATAACCAGAAGGTTGGCGGTTCAAACCCACCAGCCACTCCTCAGAAGGAAGGTTGGGCAATCTACTTCTGTAGTGATACCACCTCAGAAACCCAAGGAGGGGTCGCTATGAGTGGGGGTCGACTTGATGGCAAACACAACAACAACAGTTAGTACTTTTGAAAGGTAGAAAACTCAATTGAAATGTTGGATACTAGCAAGAATCTGTTATTTAGTATCTTTTGAACTACCATTTAAAGAACAAAATACAAAAAGATGACTTTTGCACTTCTGAAGTGCACTTCAGAAGCACTTCTTCTGTACTTAAAAAGAATAGGAAAAAACAAATCTAGAAAAAAAAAAAAAAAAGGGAGAAGTAACAGATCTTCTAACTCAAAGGAGAAAGGAAACAGAAACTTACATTTAGAAAACAACAAGGAAGATGAAAATGAAAGCAATGAGAAGCAATGAGAAACTCTACAGAGGAAAACACCTATACAAATGCAAACCAGGAAGTAAACCAAACCAGATCAAACCAAACTCACTGCCAATCTTTATGGAGGTAGATTGCCCTATCTTCCTTTTGCAGAGCAGCTGATAGGTTTGAACCACTGACCTTTTGTTTAGCAGCCAAAGATTAGTGCCTTATCCACTATGCCACCAGAGCTCCTTAAAATTGGATCAGGGTACAAAAATATGAACCATAATAATAATAATAATAATAATAATAATAATAATAATAATACAGTTTAAAAGATGTGGCTTGACTTTTGTGTTCTCAAACTTCTTTTTCTGGAAGAGTACATACTGAGAGTATGGTAAGCTCCTAACAAAAGAGATTCCTTCCTATTTTCCCTCAAGCACTTCCTGTTGTCAATGTTGACTCAAAGTGACCCACTGTGACAGCACAGAACTGCAGCGAAGGGTTTTCTTTGCTGTTAGATGGGTTTGGATCACCAACATTTTGGTTAGCAACCAAGCCCTTAACCACCAGTTCTCCTTGCCAGGCATTCCTCACCTACTGCCAACCTTCATCTAGCAGAATGATTCTTGTTGTTGTTGTTATGTGCAGTGGAGTCGGACCCCACTCACAGCGACCCCTCCTTGGGTTTCTGAGGCAGTATCACTACAGAAGTAGATTGCCCAACCTTCCTTCCGAGGAGTGGCTGGTGGGTTTGAACTTTGAGAGTAAATATGAATTGTTACTGATAGATATTATATGATGCTAATAATGAAGGTGAGGAGAGGGCATCTATATGGAAAATAAATCTGTGAAACTGTAATGGGCATTATTGTTTAGCTCTTACCATAGTCTTCATGGGAGCTCTGGTAGCATAGTGCCTAAGGAACTTGACTGCTATCCAGAACGCTGGTGGTTCAAACCCACCAGCCACTCCTCGGAAGGAAGGTTGGGCAATCTACTTCCGTAGTGATACTGCCTTGGAAACCCAAGGAGGAGTCACTATAAGTCCGACTTGATGGCACATAACAACGACATAGTCTTCATAGCATTTATCATCACCTGAAACATTGTATATTTTTTAGTTATTATTTATGATCTGTCTTCCCACTTACATTAGAATGTGAGCTCCATAAAAAAAGTGAACTTTGTTATTAACTGTACCTGGAATAGTGTTGTTTATACAGCAAGCACTTAATAAATGTTTGTTAAATTACTGAATAAGTGAATGACATAATTTAGTCCAAAGCATTGAGGACCAGACATTTAAACATCTACTTTTCATCCTTTCTGTACCAGGACAGCAATTCCTATGAAGCTGTGCAAGGAGGTGACATTAACTATTTCCTCATATTTAATCAGCAATCTCTATTCATTCAACAGTGTTTGAATAAAAGACAGAAGATGGGTGCAATGGGACAGAGTATTTTTTGCTTTGTTTCGCAGCAGCTGGGGGTGGGGGTTGAAGGTGGGACTTTTTTGCAGTTGTCCTACAAGATATACTTTAAAACCCAATGACAAAAATCAATAATTTGAATAATTCTGTAGAAACATCTAATTTAACTCTCTTTTGTTATCATCTACCTAGGTAAAAGGTCAACCCCCAAAATTAAATAAATAGTACCATTCTATGATGAAACAGAATAGTATATATCAGGCCCACCTGCAAGGCCAAAGCTTCATTCATTTCAGTGGCTTTTACTGTGTTTGACATTAGGCCAGCTGCTAAGGTCAACATAAATAAAACTCCCACTCAGGGAAAACCATCAAAGGCCACTATTTGTAGAGTATTATACTGGTTACTTTGGAAATATGTTCCTTCTTCAAGCAGCTTTTAATTCTTTGGCGGAGGAAAAAGGCTTAACTGCATAATATAAAAAAAAGGAAGGCCAAAAAAAACTGATGCATTTCAATTGTGGTCTTCGTAAAGAATATTGAAAATACCGTGAACTGCCAGAAGGAAAAAACAAATCAGCAGTCTTGCAGGAAGTACAGCCAGAATACTTCTCAGAAGTGGGAATGGCAAGACTTCGTCTCACTTTGGATATGTTATCAGGAGGGATTGATTGTGGAGAAAAACATCATGCTTGGTAAAGTAGAGGGCCAGTGAAAAAGAGGGAGGCTCTCAATGAGATGGACTGACACAATGCCTACAATAATGGGCAAACAGAACAACAGTTGTGAGGATAGTGTGTGACAGGGTTGGGGTTCATTCTATTATACGTGTTATCACTACAAGTGGGAGCTGACTTGATAGCACCTAACAACAACAACAAAAAACCTCAATGCTGCCGAGTGGACTTGACTCATAGCGACCCCTTCTTGGGTTTCACTGCTGGTGAGTTGGTCCGACTCATAGCGACCCCTCCTTGGGTTTCTCAAGCGGTATCTCTATGGAAGTAGATTTCCCAATCTTCTTTCTTAGGCATGACTGGTGGGTTTGATAAATGCTTTAGGCACTATGCCACCAGAGTGCCCACCTAACAACAACACATAATATAATTAGGGAATAAAAGAAGACAGCTTGCCATAAAGTAGGAGCTCAGGGAGCTCTGGGAGCATAGTGCCTAAGGCACTTGACTGCTAACCAGAAGGCTGGCGGTTCAAACCCACCAGCCACTCCTCGGAAGGAAGATGGGGCAATCT